CAGGAAGAAGATTTTCTGCAGAACAGAGTTAATCTGTTTATTAAACTTAAAGTCAGAATCTAAAACCATCCTGAGATCCATAACAGACTGCTTAAGATAAGACTGAAGAGAGTCGAGATTTACAGGATCAGAGACAGCAGTGGAGCTTAGGGCTAAACACAACTTCAGTTTTCTGATCGTTGAAACTTAAAACATTTGAAACCGTCCATGCCTTGATGTCATCAAGACATTTGAACAGAGGGTGAATGGAGCAAGAACTATTGGGTTTAAAGGGCAGATAAATCTGACAATCATCAGCATAACAGTGAAAAGAAAGACCGTGTTCCCTCAGGATAGACCCCAAAGAGAGCAGATAAGAGTGAAAACAGAAGGGATCCAAGAATTGAGCCCTGTGGAACCCCGCAGGAAAGATGCACTGACACATACACACTATTTCCAACCTTAACACTGAAACTCCTGTCACTCAGGTACAAACGGAACCATCTGCACCAGTAATCCCCACCCAGTGTTGTAACCTAAATATAAGGAAACTGGTGAACAGTGTCAGAAGCAGCAGGTCCAGGAGAACCAGGATCACAGACTGACCAGAATGTTTTGCTAACAGGATGTCATTACAGACCCTGTGTGCATAAACTATTGGGCTTTAAGGGCAGATAAAGGTGACAATCATCAGCATAACAGTGAAATGAAAGACCGTGTTTCCATTAAATATGAAACGTGGTGTGGTAGTAGCTGAGACTGATCCCCAACACTCTGAGAGCTGACCGACGGACGGGGACCTCGCTCCAAACGGTCCTTGAACTCGTCTTTTCTCTCGCAGTATAAACAGTTTCTGAATTCTTCTCATAGATTCATTTTTCGTCTGGACGGTTTTTTTTTTTCTGGTCCGGATCTCGTTCCTCAGTTTTTGTTCCATTTCAAGAATTCCTGTCTCAAAACGTTCGGCTCCTTCGGGACGTTCCTGCTGGGACTTTTGGTTTTTGTGCCATTTTTACTTTTCGAAATATTTAGCTTTGTCGGCCATGTTTTTCTCATTTAAAAGGAATGGCGTTCTCTTCACATCCTTCAGCTGTTTACATTTTACTGATCACTTCAGCTGTTGTTCAGCCTCTTTGTGCTGATTTTAGTTTTTCCAGCTCCTTTCAACTACATTCATTTGTTTCTGATTTTCAGCTACTTTTGAAGCATTTTTATGCCAATTTTAGCTTTTATTTCAGCTTTTTTTGTTGTTGTTGCTAATTTCAGCCTTTTTCAACTTATGCTGATTTCACTCTTTTTAATTATAGCTTTTTCTGCTACTGTTTTGTTAGTTTCAGCTTATTTGAGCTCATTTAAAATTTTCAGCTCTTTTCAACTCCTCTGTGGTAACTTCAGCTTGTTTCTACTAATTTAAGCTTATTAGACTCCTCTCAGCTTGTTTCTGCTAAATTTAGCTTTTCAGCTACGTTTGAAACATTTTTCTGTTCATGTTTTAATATTTTGTCTTTTCTGCTTTTTTTAAATGATTTCACTTTTTTATTCTCCTTTCAGCCTCTCTGCCTAGTTCAGCTTATTCAGCTACATATTTCTGCTGTTTTACTTCAGCTTTTATTTTCCTGCTGCAAATGTCAGCTGTTCAAATTCAGGTCACGTTAGCAGTTCAGAGCTGAAACCTTTTCAGCTGGTTTCAGCTTCTTCAACAACTTTCAGCTGAACCCCTTGTTGGTGTTAGAGACCACTTCATGGGGTGTCAGCTACACAGAAAGAAGCAGCTGAAGCCCTGTAAATAGAATCAGCTGAAGCCCCGTAGGTGAGAAGCAGCTGAAGCCCCGTAGGTAAAAAGCAGATGAAGCCCTGTAGGTAAGAAGCAGCTGAAGTCCTGTAGGTGAGAAGCAGCTGAAGCCCCGTAGGTAAGAAGCAGCTGAAGCCCTGTAGGTGAGAAGCAGCTGAAGTCCTGTAGGTAAGAAGCAGCTGAAGCCCCATAGATAAGAAGCAGCTTAAGCCCTGTAGCAGAAGCAGCAGAATTCCCGTAAGTCAGAAGCAGCTGAAGCCCCGAAGGTAATAAGCAGCTAAAGCCCTGTAGTAGAAACTGCTGAAGCCCTGTAGTAGAAGTAGCTGAAGCCGTGTAGTAGAAACAGCTGAAGCCTTGTAGTAGAAGTAGCTGAAGCCCTGTAGTAGAAGC